TGTAGTGGTCAGTATATGCCATAGGTAATGTCTTGTGTAGTGGTCAGTATATGTAATATGTACTGTCTTGTGTGGTGGTCAGTAAATGCCATAGGTAATGTCTTGTGTGGTGGTCAGTATATGTAATATGTACCTTCTTGTGTGGTGGTCAGTATATGCTATATGTACTGCCTTGTTTGGTGGTCAGTATATGCTATATGTACTGCCTTGTGTGGTGGTCAGTATATGCTATATGTACTGTCTTGTGTGGTGGTCAGTATATGCTATATGTACTGTCTTGTGTGGTGGTCAGTATAGGCCATAGGAAATATTTTGTGTGGTGGTCAGTATATGCTAAATGTACTGTCTTGTGTGGTGGTCAGTATATGCTATATGTACTGTCTTGTGTGGTGGTCAGTATAGGCCATAGGTAATGTTTTGTGTGGTGGTCAGTATATGCTAAATGTACTGTCTTGTGATGTGGTCAGTATAGGCCATAGGTACTGTTTTGTGTAGTGGTCAGTATATGCCATAGGTAATGTCTTGTGATGTGGTCAGTATATGCTATTTGTACTGTCTTGTGATGCGGTCAGTATATGCTATATGTACTGTCTTGTGTGGTAGTCAATAAATGTACTGTCTTGTGTGAAGGTCAGTATATGGTGCATGTACTGTCTTGTGTGATGGTCGCTCTGTGCTACAGGTAATGTCTTGTGTGGTGGTCAGTATATGCTACATGCACTGCCTTATGTAGTGGTCAGTATACAGGGCATTGAAACATACTGAGGCCTGACCAACTGTCGAATCTCCATCAGTGACCACAGATCATTTCTGGCTCTAAGGACACTAACAGTTAAGATGAATCGTAAAGATAACATTAAGTTGTTGTTAGGTAGTGAATTGTGAAGAGGGCGCAGAAGATAACAATCTACTCATCCCTACGATCAGTGATGTGGGGGATTAGTCTTCAGGAAGAGAGAGTGGGACATTATCTACACAAGTGGGTTAAGAATGAGAACAATCGCCAGAAGTGGTCAGTATTTAGCTGCTTCAGAGGGACAATCAAACTATCGGAAGAAAAGTTACAGGTGTCAAGTGTGGTCATATTTAAGATATATACAATTATACGATTCTGGTCTTATTTCTACAGTGTCCAATTAATTATCTGTCCCTCTTCCCAATAGAAGTCGTGACAGTATGTTAATTAAAAAACTTATGCTGAACGTGTTTCAATGCAGTTTTCGAGTTTCAGGATTGTGGAGTTAACGTGAGCGCAATTCTCAGAGAATCAGTGGGCTTTTCATTGCTTTATATCGATGTGAAGCGGATTATTTAGTGGTTTGACGTATGAAATACCGTGCTGGTCAAAGACGATTATTGCCATTCTGTAAAATTAGCTTATAGTGCACTGTAAATATAGAAGAAATATCAGTACGCTATGGTGTTGTGAGTGACGTCTGCTGGTGCGTGTTTTATTACATAAGAATGCTACCGTGAGACACTCTTGTTGCTCCGCCTTCTCCTCCTCTTCGTATTCCTCTTCCTCCTCCACCACTACCACCACAACCGCATCCTCATAATCCTCTTCTTATCCACCTCTTCCCCCTTTTCACTTCCTTTCATCACTTTTTTTTTCCTTTCCATCTTCTTCGTTTCATCCATCTCTTGCTCATTTCTTTTCCTTCATTCACCTTAACCTTCCCACCTCCTTCTCGTCCTGCTCCTTGTCGCCTCCTCCGTCCCTTGTCTTCACATCCGGCTGTTTACCGCAGACGTCAGTATTTCTAGCTCCTCCGTGTTTTTGTGCCAGGTTTCCTTACCTTACAGATGCCAAACGTGATGACAGGTTGCGTTTTCTTCCTACAATTATTAAAGGATGTGTTCTGGCCAACTTCCTGTGGTTTTCAGCTAGTATGTGAATTTTAATTTTTAGAACCTTACACAACGAATCCCGCAATAATCGCCCTTATCCGAATAGAATAACTGCTGCTTTATTTTCTGCCACGTAGACTAAGGGAATGTATGGGGGGGGGGGGGGGGGGGGGGGGAGAAAGGGGAACACAAACCTGAAGACTTGTGAACTAACTCAGCCGTGGAAGCAAGGATGGCCTGGATATGGGAGCCTGGAACCGTGTTTCATCCCTGATCAATGTTAGCCATGAACAAGCCGCTTGAAGTGGCTGCGATATGTTTACTTTCATTTTCCAGCTTATAATGTGATATTCTAACCGCTAAACAAATTCTGGATATACGGTATGCGTTTTAATTAATATAGGAATGTACACAAACAAGAATGCTTGGTAAATGCAAATGTTTTCTAATCAACATACACAGTTATTCAGGCACTGTTTACAGAAGCAGTAATGTGTTTCGCGACAAGTTCCTAAATGAATTTTATATCCATATTTTTTTTGTAAACTCACGGCGGTTCTAAAATTGGTGACTTTATGTCTTTTCCGAATTGTGATCCGTTATTTTGTTTCTACCTTTTTATTTTTGTGCTTTTAACGGACACAAGTGAGACTGTCCTTTGTCTGATGTATGCGTGCGGTCTGTGTACTTCTGACTGACAGACTCTTTCTGTATTTAATTGCATCAGATGTAGCGTGTACTTGCATCTACGTAAAAAGGTAAACGAGGATCGGAACTACATTGAACATGTCCGCGTGGGAGAATATAATTCGACGTGTGAATTCATGAAGTCGGCAGGGAGAGACCAAGTGTCTACCCGAACCTAAACACTGAGATTAAAGGCAAAGAGGATATAGAATCAGCTGCTACTGGTGCTATGGAACTATGGGTGCTTTATTAGTATCCTACCCCCCGATGACGTCACAGGACAGTCCAACATTTTAGAGGGTGGTAAGACCGGGTTTTCCGACTTTCTTAGGCTTTAACGACCCTAAAACATCTAGAACTGGCCCTTACCCCAACCCACCATTGACCCACGAGAGAGTGCAGCCTATCTACCATCCCCTGAAATATTAGACTGTCTCGTGACCTGTGGATTTCCCCTGTTTGGGGTAGGATATTAATAAAGCACCGAACTATCCATTTGCTGCTGAATATTTGGATAAGGCGCTTCAAGTGCTGTGATATCGGTTAACTGAAATCAATTCAAATGAACTCAGCGCGTGTGTATGTGAAATGCATACAGCTTGTTTTCTTTTTTCATCCTCAAATTTAGAACATGCATACAACTTATATCTGCGACGCTTTTTGTTATAAACAGTAGCATACAATAAGAGGATAGACACGTTAGGCGTGATCATCATAGACAGTATACATTTATCAGAAGATGAAATATTTAGACACCAACCCAAGTTGTCGGTTTGACTGCGCAAAAGCCAAACCCAACTGCATTTATGCAGAGAGTGGGTACTACACAGACAACCTTGGCAGTGTGTTTCACTTCCGGGGCAATGAAGACAACAGTATATCTGATTACTTGCATGCCACATTTAGCAGCAGTGGCACCATTAGTGTGTCGGAGACACTTCCTGGCAAGATGGTGTGTGGTGAGTTTTCTTCTTCTTCTTCTTTATTCGTCCTTAAAAAGACGACTGTCTGACTGACGTTGTGTTGTGGATTACAGCTAGGTTGTGATATCTGCGCCCTTTCGACACAACAATCCTACTGTACTCTCAATTCATCCTCTCACAGTGACCCTCTCGTGCCTTGCATAAACAACACGTTTGTATGTTTCAAATACGGGAAATTCCAGTGGCCCGGGAATTCCCTCAGTCTGCATATCGGCACTTTTAGTTCGTCCTGAAGCCCAGAGAACGTTGACTGGTAAATTCTTACATAACTCAAGGTCTCCTTTCCACGCCTTTAGGCCTATTGGAAATATAGGGCTAGACCTAAATTTTTTATAGACAAATCAGAACTTGGTGGGTGGTGTGGTCAGCATCACGCCGGCCGCATTTACTTCATAGGATGGCACCTGGTACCCACTCAGGACTAGGTCGACCTGGGAGTCAAGGTAATTTTTGAAATAAAAGCCCGGCTCCGTTAGGACGCGAACCCACGGCCTTTCCATCCGCAGGTGGGCGTCTGGCCACCAACGCCCTTGCATAACAGTTTTTGTGATTCTTTATATTCAGTCCATATAACGCTGTAGGTCTCTTGCAGAACGTTGCTCTCATCATGGTCTGCCTGAAAGAATTTCGGTCTCTCGCCAGTTTCCCGCCTCACTCACTTTTCTACACTAAGTGTCACTTATATCTTGTGCCCATCTTCGTGCTGGGCGGCCCCTGCCCCTTCTTCCTGGCACCATGCCTTCTTCCATTATCGTCTCTAAACGCTTGTTATGGCCAAAATATTTCAGTTTCCGAGACAAGATTCTGTTTACTAGCTAATCTTCCTGGATATTCAGATCTCTTAGGGTGTTAGTATTTCATTTCGTCTTTGTCCGTGGTATTCTGATATGTTTTTTAAAATGAATTTCATCTCAATTGACATTTATTGACTCAGTGGCCCTCCTCTCCCTACTTCTTGTTTTTCTTGTTCCGCTTCCTGCTAGCACAACTACTGAAAACTCCGCAGAGCTGCATAGTCAGAGCTTGCGTTGATTTCAGGTTGACCGACCACCCCACCCCCTTTTCACACACCATATGTGGGTTCCGGGACCCCATTTTGGTTGGGGGGTGGGGTGGGATAAGAACCAGTGTGCCCCTTACAAGCATTCGTAAAAATCGACTAATTATAAGCGTTTGCTTCAAATTCGAAGAATCAGCGGTCTGATTACAATTCTTGAAAACGACTTGGGTGCAGAAGTGAATGAACAAGCAGAACTTTACACCGGAGTTTACAGCCGATTAATATCTAGACGAAGAAGAAGAAGAAGAAGAAGAAGAAGAAGAAGAAGAAGAAGAAGAAGAAGAAGAAGAAGAAGAAGAAGAAGAAGAAGAAGAAGAAGAAGAAGAAGAAGAAGAAGAAGCACTTATTTAACCGTAAAGGTATAATTTCAGTACTTTTGTATGTCTATCGTTACGTTTTCTTTTTCCTTTTCTTCAGAGTCTCCGACATCAGAGATTCAAACCTACACCAGTTACCGCCAGTCCGGGAGAACCAGCTCCACGTCCAGTCTGGGACAGTCAGGCAGCTGCTCCCAGGAGTGCGCCATCTGCCGAGACAAGTCCACGGGCAAGCACTATGGAGCTCTCAGCTGCGATGGCTGCAAGGGATTTTTCCGCAGAAGCGTCCGCCGGAACCACATATATGCCTGCAGGTTCAGCAGAAACTGTGTCGTCGACAAAGATAAGAGGAACCAATGTCGCTACTGTCGCCTGAGGAAGTGTTTCCGGGCCGGCATGAAAAAGGAGGGTGAGTCTTAGTTCTCTTAAGTTCCTGATTATGCAGTCCCACCTAAACGAGGAATCGAACCTAAGTTCTTGGGCCGACAGACGGGTGTCTAGTCACTGAACTACAGATGGGTGTCTAGTCTCCCCCACCTCTTCCTCTATCATCATCACTTATCACCAGATTCTCCTCCTTCTCACATCCAGATTTCAATGTGAATATATACAAGGTGTTTGTAAATTCTCACTACACTTCGTATGCTGAACAAATCTGAAAAACGAAAGGCATGACATCATACAAAAACTCTGCTGAGAAAAGTAATTCGGTTAGTTACAGAAGTCACTGCTAGGGTCGAAAGCTGTATTGGGGGAGCTGTAAAGTACCAGTCAAATGTCCAGTATAACAAGTGTTAGATATGTCCACCACTGGTTTCAAGTCATGACTGTAGACTTCTCCTTATATTGTCTAATACCTTCTGCAACATGTCTGTTATAATATCTTGAATGGTAATTCTGATTGCTTCTTTCAAGGTCCCAATTGTGTACAATAATCTTTTAAACATTTCCTTTCAAGAAACCCCGTGGATACTAATCTGATGGAGTTAGATCTGGAGAACGAGCAGGCACAATTCACCTGATATGCGATTTGTTCACCCTCCTCCCTAACGCCAATGCTTTCTTCCTCGGACAACACCATTCTATTTTAAGCGCACAGAAATACTTCAGCAGGCGACTGCCATTCACAGCATATTGCTTCAGGACTGACCGTGAAGCACAGTATTTGATGACGTCATATACTTCGTATTTCAAATGTGTTTCTCACACACTTTACAAACAACCTGTATATGAGATTCAGTTAGTTGCAGGTTCGTGATTTCCGTTGCTAGAATTGTTTCGTTAAGAGAATTGCTGTGCTTCGACTTTTGTCCGGACAACGCCCGGGCCATATAACGTTGGACAACGTTTGGTTGTTCTTGTTTTCTTGGTCGTCCACTAGAAATATGCAGCCATCTTCATCTTCATCGTCATTGTCATCATCATCATTACTGTTGGACTGCGACAAGAGAAACATCATCGATTGACTTCAAGAAGCGAGCAAAGAGAGCCAGAACAGTTGAGGAGTTAAGTCAAAAATTGACATCACATCACTCAGGGCATTCCCATACGTGCTTCGTCCTCATCTTCAGCAGCCAGCGCTGAGTTTTAATACTGATGGTACCGGTGGTCACAATCAAGTTATGTGTCCGTCTTGCCTTTCCTCTGTATGTAGTCAGCCGGCCAGACCCTCTGGTTACACCCACAAGCCTTATTCTCTCCAGCCATAATAATCTTCTTTCTCTACTGATTCCGTTGCTTGTTGCCAAACAGCCATGACCACATGAAGAGGTAGAACAGAGACTGAATAATGACGTAATGTAACCACGATTGTTGTATGCTGAAGTAACAACAGCCAACTGCTCATCCAAGAGAATTAAATAAGCACACACTAGTCGTATCCCCTCTTTCTCGTTTACCATCAACTTACATATTTGTATTACTGTAATATAAATTTAGAAGTAAACACACACACACACACACACACACACACACACACACACACACACACACACACAACTATAGCCAGTTGGTAAATGTCATTATCATATTTGAAATCAGCGTTTCAAAATCAACCAGAAATGGTCTGTTTCAATTTTGATAGAAGTCATCATCAAGTGCCCTGCCATCACTTGATGATATCCCTCCATGCCATCGATTCAGCCCATCCAGTATCATCACTCTTGCTCTGCCTCTAACCCTTTTCTCCCACTGATCTCTTCAGTTGTCACGATGTTCTCCGGTGTCTCTCTTCTCATTATGTGGCTAAAGAAAAGTGTTTGTCTCTTTCTTATTGATAGAAGTAACTGCAGAAAATATGTTGACTAGTGTTTATATTCTAAAATCTGATACCCTATCTACTGACTAACTGGCTGACTGGGATTTTTAACACGTTAAGAAAAGTTAATGATGTAATCAGTGAAAATATAACAGGTGTCTTGTTGTTTGATAGACGGTCACTTTATTTTAAGATAGTCCTTAAAATAGAAGGGCAGGTAACACATTGTCTTGTGGTTTACAGCCAGACTGCCATATATGCGTCTTTCGGTCCAGAACATTAGATTACCTTAGCTCCTTATTAGTCGTATTTTACGTCATGCTTGCTTGGAGGCATTGGTTCTGTTTCAAAATTCCACCCTCCCTTCCCTTACACGAGACACCGGAATCCACACAGGGAAAGAGACGGTAAGTTGAGAGTTCATCCCAACTGATAAATATACTACATATAAAATGAGTTAACGAGGAAATTGTCGTTCTCACAGCTGTGCAGAACGAACGGGATAGGATCAGTGTGCGACGCACAAGCTACGAGGACGTGTCTCCGACCAGCTCCCTGTCTATTGCCACACTGGTACAGGCGGAAACTGCTTCCAGGCTTCAGGTGGGTAATGAGTTGTGTGGTGGAACAAAAGGGACGTCATCTGTGGGAAGGAGGGCAATTGGAGGTTAATTAGCAATATTTAACAAATATTTAATAACTAGTGACTTGTTAGCGCTGAGGTATTCATAGAATGAGAAGGTGAAGGAGAAGGTAAAAACATAAGATGGATACGAAGATTAGCAAAACTCAGGATTTTCACCTCAACTCGTTCGGCTGCGTGATTTCGTATTGTTTCCTACGGGCTGACCTATGTTGTAGGGGTGTTATGAGAAGTCTTCCTTGGGTATCTATACACATCGTGCCGAGAAGTGACTCGGGTTCGTTCGACAAGGTCAACACACTATCTTCCAGAAGAAATGGCGCAGCTTTGTTTTTGTTTGTTTGTTTGTTTCAGCGACAGTTGCTTCTGTAATATGTTGTTGCTGCGAGAAGCTCTGGCGCCGCAGGCGCCTGTGTACAAACAAGAAGTACTGTAGGGGGAAACGGCTAAGGCGACGATTCATTAGGATTAAATCATTGATGATTTCATATTTTTACGCTCCTTAGCTGTGGCTGTCACTGGTGATGGATATGATTCAAATGTTCAAAATAAGCCAAACATGACGCCCCTACACATAAGACAGGCTATGGGAACAAAACACCCCCCCCCCCCCCCTCAAAAAAAAAAAAACACAACCCCAAGCTGAACTAGATGGGGTGAGAATCGTGAGTTGTACTGAACTATGGATGAGAAGATGGACGAAAGATGGATGAGAAGATGAACGAAAGATGGATGAGAAGATGAACGAAAGATGGATTAGAAGATGAACGAAAGATGGATGAGAAGATGAACGAAAGATGGATGAGAAGATGAACGAAAGATGGATGAGAAGATGAACGAAAGATGGATGAGAAGATGAACGAAAGATGGATGAGAAGATGAACGAAAGATGGATAAGAAGATGAACGAAAGATTTATGAGAAGATGAACGAAAGATGGATGAGAAGATGAACGAAAGATGGATAAGAAGATGAACGAAAGATGGATGAGAAGATGAACGAAAGATGGATGAGAAGATGAACGAAAGATGGATGAGAAGATGAACGAAAGATGAATGAGAAGATGAACGAAAGATGGATAAGAAGATGAACGAAAGATGGATGAGAAGATGAACGAAAGATGGATGAGAAGATGAACGAAAGATGGATGAGAAGATGAACGAAAGATGGATGAGAAGATGAACGAAATATGGATGAGAAGATGAACGAAAGATGGATGAGAAGATGAACGAAAGATGGATAAGAAGATGAACGAAAGATGGATGAGAAGATGAACGAAAGATGGATGAGAAGATGAACGAAAGATGGATGAGAAGATGAACGAAAGATGGATGAGAAGATGAACGAAAGATGGATGAGAAGATGAACGAAAGATGGATGAGAAGATGAACGAAAGATGGATGAGAAGATGAACGAAAGATGGATGAGAAGATGAACGAAATATGGATGAGAAGATGAACGAAAGATGGATGAGAAGATGAACGAAAGATGGATAAGAAGATGAACGAAAGATGAATGAGAAGATGAACGAAAGATGGATGAGAAGATGAACGAAAGATGGATAAGAAGATGAACGAAAGATGGATGAAAAGATGAACGAAAGATGGATGAGAAGATGAACCAAAGATGGATGAGAAGATGAACGAAAGATGGATGAGAAGATGAACGAAAGATGGATAAGAAGATGAACGAAAGATGGATAAGAAGATGAACGAAAGATGGATAAGAAGATGAACGAAAGATGGATGAGAAGATGAACGAAAGATGGATGAGAAGATGAACGAAAGATGGATAAGAAGATGAACGAAAGATGGATGAGAAGATGAACGAAAGATGGATAAGAAGATGAACGAAAGATGGATGAGAAGATGAACGAAAGATGGATAAGAAGATGAACGAAAGATGGATGAGAAGATGAACGAAAGATGGATGAGAAGATGAACGAAAGATTTATGAGAAGATGAACGAAAGATGGATGAGAAGATGAACGAAAGATGGATAAGAAGATGAACGAAAGATGGATGAGAAGATGAACGAAAGATGGATGAGAAGATGAACGAAAGATGGATGAGAAGATGAACGAAAGATGAATGAGAAGATGAACGAAAGATGGATAAGAAGATGAACGAAAGATGGATGAGAAGATGAACGAAAGATGGATGAGAAGATGAACGAAAGATGGATGAGAAGATGAACGAAAGATGGATGAGAAGATGAACGAAATATGGATGAGAAGATGAACGAAAGATGGATGAGAAGATGAACGAAAGATGGATAAGAAGATGAACGAAAGATGGGTGAGAAGATGAACGAAAGATGGATGAGAAGATGAACGAAAGATGGATAAGAAGATGAACGAAAGATGGATGAGAAGATGAACGAAAGATGGATGAGAAGATGAACGAAAGATGGATGAGAAGATGAACGAAAGATGGATGAGAAGATGAACGAAAGATGGATGAGAAGATGAACGAAATATGGATGAGAAGATGAACGAAAGATGGATGAGAAGATGAACGAAAGATGGATAAGAAGATGAACGAAAGATGGATAAGAAGATGAACGAAAGATGGATGAGAAGATGAACGAAAGATGGATAAGAAGATGAACGAAAGATGGATGAAAAGATGAACGAAAGATGGATGAGAAGATGAACCAAAGATGGATGAGAAGATGAACGAAAGATGGATGAGAAGATGAACGAAAGATGGATCAGAAGATGAACGAAAGATGGATAAGAAGATGAACGAAAGATGGATAAGAAGATGAACGAAAGATGGATAAGAAGATGAACGAAAGATGGATGAGAAGATGAACGAAAGATGGATGAGAAGATGAACGAAAGATGGATAAGAAGATGAACGAAAGATGGATGAGAAGATGAACGAAAGATGGATAAGAAGATGAACGAAAGATGGATGAGAAGATGAACGAAAGATGGATAAGAAGATGAACGAAAGATGGATGAGAAGATGAACGAAAGATGGATGAGAAGATGAACGAAAGATGGATAAGAAGATGAACGAAAGATGGATGAGAAGATGAACGAAAGATGGATAAGAAGATAAAAGAAAGATGGATAAGAAGATGAAGGAAAGATGGATAAGAAGATGAACGAAAGATGAATGAGAAGATGAACGAAAGATGGATGCGAAGATGAACGAAAGATGGATGAGAAGATGAGCGAAAGATGGATGAGAAGATGAACGAAAGATGGATGAGAAGATGAACGAAAGATGGATGAGAAGATGAACGAAAGATGGATGAGAAGATGAACGAAAGATGGATAAGAAGATGAACGAAAGATGGATAAGAAGATGGATGCAAATGGTTGAGAACAGAGATCAGAATATTCCTGATAGGATGGACGTGAATGTGAAGATGAAAATGATGAAGTAGATGGATGGGAAGATGAATGTACAGATGATCGAGAATACAAAAAATTGATGAAAGAGAACATGTTGGAGAGGATTGGCGAGATGGACCAGAAAATGGTTGAATAGATGGATGAGAAGATTAAAAAGAAAACCAAATACGCGAAAAAGAAAGCCCGGCTCGCTAACGTAGTTGGTTCGGGTTCACGCCTGGGGGTAGGCAGATAAGCCACATTTCTCCCACATTTACGGTATCTATCATGGAATCAAGACCGAAGGGTTGCGATTTCCATAGTACCGAGCCAAAGCGTTAACAACTCATGGTTTCTGGATTAAAAAAAAAGAGAAGGGTGAGACCACAGCTTTTTTTCTGCCTAGAAACGAAGGTGCCAGTACTGGTTACAAAGTATCTAAAATAAAAAAAAAGGTGCCGGTACTCACCACAAAGTGTCTATTACAAAAGCGCAAACACGAATGATGTCTAGAAAAGTGGAGCCGATTCTGCGTGAGATACTGAATGAGTAAGTGAATGCGGAGATGGATAAGATTAAGATCATGTATAACACTTCAAATGTAGAAACGATCAGTATTGTGGTTAAGTTTGACAAATCTCCCACTGCATTCGACCAAATGCAGATCGATTCACAGGGCGCTGCCAGTCTGTCTGCCCGGGCCAAGGGACGACGCTCTGCCACGCTCGAGGATGTGGTCGAGTCGATGAGACAGCAGCTGTTGCTTCTTGTGGACTGGGCCAAGAGGATTCCTTGCTTCATAGAGCTTCCTTTGGATGACCAGGTAGGCTGCGTGGAGTGGGAATGTATGAGGAAGAAAGGAGGAAAAGGGAGAGGATGGGGGATGGTGAAAAAAGAAAGAAAGAAAGAAAGAAAGAAAGAAAGAAAGAAAGAAAGAAAGAAAGAAAGAAAGAAAGAAAGAAAGAAAGAAAGAAAGAAAGAAAGAAAGAAAGAAAGAAAGAAAGAAAGAAAGAAAGAAAGAAAGAAAGAAAGAAAGAAAGAAAGAAAAAAAACAACAAAAGAAAGAAAGAAAGGGAGAGCGAGAGAGAGAGAGAGAGAGAGAGAGAGAGAGAGAGAGAGAGAGAGAACAACCCCCAAATACGGATCTATGTCAGTGTTCTTCAACGTATGATCAGCCATATGTTATCCCAGATAATGTTTTGCTGCTCCGCAGTTCGAAGAACATTGCTCTAGAGCAGTGTTCCTCAATATATTCACACTTGCGGCTCATCAGAACAGGAGATATTGCTTTGCTAGCCAAACGCAGCAACAAAAATCATTGTAGATAGCAGTTCATTAGGTTCAATCCTGTGCCACAAATGTACAGTTGTCAGCAAATGCGACTTATTCTTTTTCCTAAAGTCAATACCGTGTGGCGTTGGTAGTCATGTCTATCCATCCGCCATCCGGTAGTTATGTCCGCCATCAACCCCTCCCCCTCCCCCCACTAATCATATCATCCTCGCAGAAGGATGGGAAAGTCATCATCTGACGAAATATTGTAACTGAACTGAGCTTTGCATCCGTGTCCACCCAGAGACAGATGGATAGCATTAATGTGTAATGAGAAGTAAATGTGGCCAGCAGTGTAACAGCTACCACATCACCCATCCAGTACCAGTACTACTGCTACCACTACCACCACCACCTTCAGAACAAAAACAAAAAACAGTCACTACTGTCTGTGCAGGTCGGTGTAGCCAGAGGGGTTAGGTGTCGCCACGGACTGTTTAGTGTAATTGAGCTCCCAACAAAGAAAAAGAAAACCCACGTAGTAGTCCGTTCTATACTCACAAATAGCGGAAATAAAAAACCCCACCCGTCATCTCCCCCTCTCTGAACGGACGAATGTTAAATGACCTTGGCATCCGTGTCCACCCAAAGTAAACTGGACTGTAAGCAGTCTTAGTTAACAGCTTCTGTCATCTACGAATAGTTTATCATCGAGTGAAGCGTCACGGGGAGGATAAATGAAACTTTACTGAAATCGGATGTCTTTGGGTGAAAGGTGCAGATATCGCAGCCTAGCTGTAAATCACAACACAACATGTCAACAGCCCTCTTGAGGGAAAAAGAAAAATTAGCATCCAGGGGGTAACTGAACATCGGTCAACCACGTGAAGGGCGGGATACGTTACAAATATACTACCTAAGACTGAAGAGATTGGGACCGATATCGCAGCCTATCTGTAAACCACAACACAATGTTCCAACCGCCCTCAAAGGCGAACGAAGATTACCCGTGGCATGACCAACATCTCGTCGCCTCTATCGCAGGCAAGCTGTAAACCCCCAAATCGAGCGGAAAGAAGACGTAGATATCGCAGCCTAGCTGTAAACCACATCAAAATGTGCCAAGCGCTTAGTTAAAGGCAAAAAAAAGTTGTTATTACCTAGCGGGGCAATGATCGCCAGTCACCCACGTAACACGCAAAATAGACAACTACGCTACCAAGGACTCAAGCATTTGCCGAATTATATCTCCCTCTCCGAATGATTGAAACATTATTATGTGGCGACATTGTTAAAATATAAATAGTTAAGAAATGAGAAATGTAAAAAAATGTTTTAAGCTCTCTAAGTTAACAGTGTCTGGCATCAACCCCCCTCGACACCCCTCCCCCCCCCCCCCCCCCCCCCTATGTGACAATCATATCATTCTCTACCAAGTATGGGGAAGTCATCGCCTGACGAAATAGTGGTTAAATTGAGCTTGGCATCCGTGTCCACATAGACACAAATTGATAGCATTAATCTGTACTGAGAAGTAAATGTTTCCAGTGTAACAGCTGCCACATAACCCATCGAGTACAAGTACTACTGCTACCACTACCATCACCACCGTCACAACAACAACACAAAACGGTAACTACTGTCTGTACAGGTCGTTGTAGCCAGAAGAGTTGGCGCCGCATGCTGTCCATACGGACTGTTTAGTTTAAGTGTGTCCCCGACATAAAACTCCATCACCTAACCAATGATGGAACCCACAGTAAAATTACGTGATATAAAAAAAAATGTACACTATACACACAAATAGCGGAAATAAAAACCCGCACTCGACATCTCTCCCTGTCCGAAGTGACAATGTGTAATTAACCTTGGCATCCACGTCGACCCAAACCAAACTGGACCGCAAGCCTTCCTAGTTAACAGTGTCGGTCATTAACGAATAGTTTTTGATCGCTGCTGAATACTCAAGCGTTTAGTAGAAATGAAAGTATATAATCATAATGTGAAGGTCAGTGTTGCACAGTCAAAGGTGGCCAATTCCTTAAAAATAAATCCGGGTGGCCGACGAAACTAAAAAAAGATTTGACCGTTACTGGAGCTACGTCGTTCGTGGTTTGTGCGATTTTATGACAAAAAATAACGCTTTAAGTCAGAGGCAACGTTGTGTGAAAATTTGAAAGCAATCGGTTCAGTAGTTTCCGAGTTTAGAGCTAACGACACCGGAAAATTAAGATTTTTATTAATATAGAAGGTCTAGACTATGCCCCAATATAATCTGCTTGAGTCTTAGTTTTAGTCGAGGTTTCAGCTTCCCTGCTGTCCGGTCAAGCCACACTTGCTGTGTTCCTGTGTCGGTAAAATGAAAAAAAAAATGTCACTCACTGTCCTATTTAAAAAACCTGGCCAACAAACAATTCGTCCATGCACAGTCCAGAAATATGCGCACGCAGTAAATACATATGGCAGTTTCTAGAGGTGCCAAAGTCAACAGTCGCCACAAGAAATGCAGTTTGTCGTTGATAGAAGTAGTCAGCTACGATAAGCTAGCCATACACACGTAGAATTTTTGCATAAGGTGTTTCACCAGCCCACACGTAAACCGTCTACCGGCCTTATTGAATACAACGACTCAAACGCTGCACAAACGAAAGGCAGTGTGCTTCGGGAGCAGTTAGTATCTACATCTTTAGACATCTGCTGCGGCAGACGGAGCATTCGTGGGTGAACCTGATGTGGATTCGTTAATAAGTAGGCCGTAATCAGTCACCTACGAATGCATTTTCTATATCAGTGGTTCTCAACCTGTGGGTGGCGACCCTTTTGTCGGTCTAACGACCCTTTCACAAGGGTCGCTAAAGACCAACAGAAAGCACATATTGATTGAAGTCATGCCACAGCATGATAAACTGTATTAAAGGGTCGCCACAATATAAGGAAATGTATTAAAGAGTCGCGGCTTTAGGAAGATTGAGAACAACAGGTCTATATGATCCACTATCTCTTCAGGTAGCTCTTTTAAGAGCGCATGCTGGCGACCACCTGATCCTGGGCGTGGCCAAGCGGTCAATCCCTCTGTCCGACATCTTGTTGCTCAGCAACGAGTCTGTGATAACCCGGCGGAGTCCAGACGTGGACGTGGGGCACATCGCCGGCAGAATTCTCGACGAGATCGTCACGCCAATGAGGGACATCCGAGTCGACGACTCCGAGTATGCTTGCCTCAAGGCTCTGGTCTTCTTTGATCCCGGTAAGTTGTCCTAGACCATATACTGTTTCTGTCCTAGTCACGTTCTCACTACAACCATCACCACCACAACCACCCTGTCGTCATCATCATCATCTTCATCAACGCCCTCATCATCGTCAATAATATTGTCTTCTATGATCCTAGTTAGACGTTGTCTCTCATCCACTTTATCTGTCCTGTGTCAGTTTTCGTATCCTCCTTATCATCGTCGTACTGTTCGAAGCAGATGCAAATTTTTGGCTTCTGCCGGACGGTGGCCGATGCATTTTTGCTCGATTTGTAGACTGGATATAGTTTCGTCGCCCAGCTTCTGAGTTGAATGCATAGCATGACACTGTGAGCTGCGGATTGCATTTGGAATGTTTTTTCGACTGTGACCAACGTGGTGGTGTGAATTGTAGATTCAGAAAATGGCGCGATGCCTGTCGTGCAATGTTGGTGGTGCCCGTATGTGATTAAAATTGATCGCGTGGGCAACTGCTGATCTGTTGGCGACAAGTTCTGCTATCATCAATGATGAACTGCAATTCTAATGTTGGGCTGTTTGTGTTAGCACTTCGGATGGCAACCGTATGCTTTAATGCAAGTGTATGCTAGATATGCTGAGACAGCAGTCTGTCAATCTTTCCACAGGGCAATGTGATAAACATTCTGTGTTTTTCGTTGGCACAGGAGCGGAGCAAAGATGGGGTGACCCGTTTGCTATGAAGCTGAAACTAAGACTACCAGACTACCCATCATCATCAAAGAATATTAATAAAATGTTATGTGTAAGTTTCCTCATCCTATTCCTCTTCCTCCTCCTATTCCCCCTCCTTCTCCTCCTCCTCATCATCATTATCTTAAAAAATGTTAATAAGAAATTCATCATTATAGATCTGGATGGTTTTAATTTTGTTGGTGTTGTTGCAGTGGCGGAAGGATTAAGCAACAGCGCGGTGGTGAAACAGTTCCGTTACCAAATCCAGGTCAACTTGGAGGACTACATCAACGACCGGCAGTACGACAGCCGGGGCCGGTTCGGGGAGATCCTTCTTCTGTTGCCCTCAATCCAGAGCATCTGTCTCAAGCTGATCGAGCAGGTGCAGTTTGTCAAACTGATGGGCACCACAAAGATCGACAACCTGCTTCAGGAGATGTTGCTCAGTGGTGGGTTCAGTGAGGTTTATGTCGTTGACTTCCTCACCATCGTCTTCATCGTTACCATCATTATCTTTAACAACATCGTCACCACAACCATTATTGTCAGAGAATCACATCACAGCAGTCGATGCATTCCTATAAGCGCCCCATCCCTATCTTCAGCAGCTAGCGCAGAGTTCCAGTACCAATGGTGCCAGTAGCATCTGATTATATGTCTGTCTTGCCCTTCCTTTGAGCGTCGAGTATCGGCCAGATCCCCTCGTCACTGACCGCTTTATCACTATCACCAGTCTGTGGTGATCCATTTGCTCCTCCGAGTTGTACACATTCTCTCACAAGGCCGTAACCACGTCTGGCTTATCATGTAGCAATATTTCACTAAGTTGTGCAGAGCCAGCCAATCTGTGTGGCTGTTCATTTCCCAACACACTGGCATGATCCAAAGAAAATATCAGGACAATGCTCTTCACCCGTGACCTCTCGAGATAAGCACGCCACTCAGCGTCAAGCATGCCTGTCCTTACCTTTCATCATCACCTCTATTATTAAAGTCATCATCATCCTCATCATTGTCTTATTGAATCTTTTTTTTTCCGGACACTTCTTCAAGTCGACTGAAAACAACAATAATACAAGGTATATAAACACGCACACATCAACTTCTGGTCTACTGGTTCGAACTGAAGACCCTTGGGGCTGGCAAGTGAGCGTCTAGCCAGTATGCCACCCCTGCTCCCATATCTGGGTCAAGCCCATATTTGCTCCGTCTCTCTCCTGAACAGACAATGGAGGGTTTCCACGCTGATGGTGCCAGTTGCATCTAGTTAACTACTTGTCTTGCCTTCCCTCTGAGACTCAAGTGGCGCCCAGAGCCCACAGCCACTCTCCGCTGCATCATTCTCTCCTGGTGAGTGTGTTCAGTATCTTATTACCTTTTACCTCATCCCACAGGCGAGAGATCACCTCAGCCTTGTGCAGTTGCAGTACCTCAGCCTTGTGCAGTTGCAGTACCTCAGCCTTGTGCAGTTGCAGTACCTCAGCCTTGTGCAGTTGCAGTACCTCAGCCTTGTGCAGTTGCAGTACCTCAGCCTTGTGCAGTTGCAGTACCTCAGCCTTGTGCAGTTGCAGTACCTCAGCCTTGTGCAGTTGCAGTACCTCAGCAAGTGAGGCCAGTCCAGTCAACTTACCAGCCAGCTCATTGCCCAGACCAAATATTCACACGACTGGCTACCCACGACCTAACGATTTTTTGGACCCATTCTATACGAACAGAACCTGGTCTGCTGTATGGCAGCAAATCTTGGAATTTGAACAAATTAAGAAGAAATTGGTAGCAACAGAGATGTGGTTTCTGAGACGAATGTTACAAATACCTTGGATGGCCAGAGTAACTAACAACGATTGCTTGAAAGAAGCTAATGAAAGTAGATCTCTATATACAACAATAAGAAAGAGACAAACACTGATCTTTGGCCACATAATGAGAATAGAAATAATGGAAAACATTGTGACAACTGGAAAGATCAGTGGGAAAAAAAGTAGAGGCAGACCAAGGGAGATGATGCTGGGTTGGTTGAAACTATGGCATGGCGAGATATCAAGAGAGGTGTTCCAAACAACCAGGGTTCGTGATCTGTGGAAACATATCAGCGCCTACGCCAGGTGGCAGGGCACACGATGATGATTATTCTATACAAAGAAAACCTGCTTCCACCTCTTGAGTATGCTTAGGTGCTTCAGTATATATAATTTCAACAAAAGCAATGCTCAATCGCTTACATTGTCATTTTTATTTTTTCAGGATCAAACGCAGCCATGATAGACCCACTTCTGAGCGATCACGTTCTATCAGACGCTGATGACCTCATAGCCGCCTCTTCTCCAATGGAAGACATGATGGATGGCATCCACGCAGACGAGGCCTTAAACCTAATCACCATTCCCCCAGAAGCGGAGCCTAGCTCTGCAGACGAGATCCCAAATCTGGAAGCTAGTCGTATCATGATGAACCTGGCCCAGCAGTCCACCTCTGAGTTGAAGGCCACACAGGAGATGACAATGAGTTCTGAAGTCAGTGACATGGCGGTTTCTTATCATGGGGAAAAGACCCCTGTGAGTCCGTCTTTGGAATCACCGTCTTTGGTGAGCAATGTCACACTCGCTGACCTGGTCAAGTTTGCCGGAAATAAAACCCATGTGAGGGTGAAGGTCGCGTACCCACCGTACAAGAAAGGTGGCCAGAGTTTTAAGATAGAGAGTGTCTAAAGTATTTTATTTAAAAGCTCAATTAGGCGATAGTTGTGGTCAGTCTGTGAATACACCACAGCACCAACTTGTAATTACTTGAACTATTTCTGCACGGAGAAGTTGCAGTTTAAATTAGCTCATGTCGGAGTCCAAAGACTTTATATAAATAACATGATAGGACAAAAAAGAGCTAAATCAACAAATTTGGTACAACATGTTACTTGATGTCTGTATCAACATCGTAACTCATCGGTGAAACCCGTTCATCCTTTAATGCAGCGGTCATCTCAGTGTCTCCATACCCATTGTACACAGCAGGAGTCAACTGGTATATCTTCCTTCTTTGCCTGGCAACCAGTTTCTGCATGCCTGGCCTTGTTTAATACCCATCTCCAACAGGTGGCTCATAAATTCTGACTGCTTTGTCTCGACGTCGGCTCTGTGGCTAAGTCGATGCGAACACTTCGCTTCGTAATGCCGGGATGCCGGGTTCGATCCCAGCTGCGGGCAATGCGCCTTGCGTTGGTTTCGACAGTGGTATCAAGAAAGCCGACCGTCCAGCAAGCAATGGCAAACTACTGGACGTAATTTGCCTAGAGAAACCACACAACAGCCAGGGGCTGTTAGGGTTGGTTCTGCAACGTCCTGTAAAGGATACGCAACAACCTTTTTGTCTCGACGTCTTTGGAACGCAGCGCATTTGGGGTGTCTACCCTGTCGGTACTTCTTCCTCCACAAACGACCAAAGACCCAGCAAGTCTGTCAGCTCTTTTATTTTCTTTCACACCGGCGTATCCTGGTGTGTACACTGTACAGCCAACAAAGTTTCTTGACAAGGGACTTCTGGAGGCTTTCAATCCATTCTCCTCGGAGTTTGCCAATTTGGATTTGGTTAAGCACTCTCATGTCGTCTGCCACTCTTATTGTGTGAGCTGGTGTTTTTTCTGTTCTGATCTAAGAAATTAATGTAACAAATGTCTACGATAGAAAACTGCAGCGGGAAAGTTCTGATCTAAAAAATTAATATAACAAATGTCTACGATAGAAAACTGCAGCGGGAAAGTTCTGATTGTTCTCTACTTGTGGACAATAGCCTTGTCTCAGAGCTTGTGTTTTGCATGCACATCCATTTTACAGATCTTGCTTATTTGTATGCAGACTGTCGGTTATTTGCCTCTCAGGCAGATGCACTCCCACTTGAAAAGAAACCCCCAATTAGTCGACTCTTACGACATGCTTGTTAGGGAAGCAGTGGATCAACTCTTGCTTTCCCACAATGGGGTCCCGAAACCCACATGGTTGGTTTGAAAAACAGGAATAGCAGTGTGTTGATAACAGGCATCCAAAAGTGGAAATTTTGTCATTGATAATTTTACACTAGAATTTATATATATATTGTACAGGGTGTTTATAAAGTCTAACCACACTTTGCATGCAAAACAAATTAAAAAAATAAAAGTACATGACCCCATCAAAACATTATGCTAAAAAGGTAATTTAATAAGTTACATGAATTACTGCTATGGTAACACTGTTTTGGGGAAGCCTGAAAGGACAAAAAAAAAATATTCATTATAATTTGTTCAACACTTCTCTAACCGTGATGAGGATGTTGTTTGTCGGGAAATTTTAATACAAATCTTTGAACAATCATCCGTTTGTATCAACCGCCATTTCGAAACACTTGTTGAACCAAAAAATTCTTTCATCTGTTAACCTAAATCTGTTTTGAATGCACATAATTACTCCTGCATACGACAGCCATTAACTGTCTGTTGCTTCACAGTTGCCCATGGAGCAGATTTTTTGATGATGTCATGTATTTCATTTTGCAGATTTTCTACATATAAAGTATAGTGAGACTTTACAAACACCCTGTGTATAATACCTTTACTGTCATATGTTCGTATGATCTAAATTTATCATTTGGCATTGAGAAGCCTGATTTCTGTACACTGACAATGGCATTAAATAAATTGTATATATTTAACTACTGTACCGGTAAACTATTATATTGTTTCATTTATTGCTACTAGGATGCATTTTTCCATTATATCTTTTTTTATACGCAATCATATTTGCTTTGTTCTTGCATTGTATATTCAGAGATGATTATATATTTGTTTACAGTTGCTTATTACTCAGAGAATTTCACTTTAAGGCATTTTGGGTTACCCAGGAGGTGATTTGAATACTAGTCCTAGACCCACATGTTGACCCAACTTTAAATGAGTACTAGGAAAGATCTTGGGAAGTATAGGCAGCTTCATGATGTTGATTAGTTCGCCCACCAAGCATCAGTTGAAAAAAAAATATATATATATATGTGTGTGTGTGTGTGTGTGTGGTTGCATGTGTGCGTGTGTGTGTGTGTCTTGCACAATGTGTTCGATTTGCAACTGAAAGGCAGTTTTTCGCCTGTGTAATACTCTGATTGTGTAGTCTTTGTGTGCAAGAATTCTTAGTATATTTTTAAGCATTAGCAAAATTCAATGCAATACTGCAGTCGTTTTGTCAT